CCAAGCACGTCGCGGACAACCTCAGCAGCATGAACAAGCAGAGGGTTGCAAACGGCGAGCAGTTGTTGATTGTTCCGAAGCGCGTCAACGGCATGCAGCCCAAGCCGACCGTCAATGACCTGACGAAGTGCTCGGACGTGGTCTCCCTGGTCTTGGGCGTGAGTCCGCAAATGACGCCATCTCAGTTCTACATGTGCGACGTTGTGAACTTCGTTGTGAACTTCGTTCGCAATTTCTTGGAGAGGCCCATCAGTCCCGAGCACGCGATGGAGCAGGGCCTCTTCCGCCACAGGGTCTTGGCCAGGACTCGCACGGGTTGCCCCGCCCCCCGCCCCCATCAGGGGGTGGGTGGTGGTGGGAGGGGGGGGGGGGGGGGGGGAGATTGGGGAAGGGAGATGAGGGGGGGAAGGCGGAGGAGGACGAGGAAGAGGGAGACGAGGAGGAGGAGGAGGAGCTAGGAGGAGGAGCTAGGAGGAGGAGCTAGGAGGAGGAGGAGGAAGAGGAGGACGAGGAGGAGGAGACGGAGGAGTCATCTTCCTTCCCCCCACCCCCAGTCTGCGGCGCTTGCACGGCCGCGCCGCGAAGTCCAAGCAGCCCGCGGTCGAGCTGCTCAAGAGCAAGATGATGGCCCGCCCACAACCTGCGTCGTCGACGCTCCGCGCAGGGCTCGAGGCGCAGACTCAGGCGGAGACGCAGAGCGACATCGATTTCGATGAACTCGTGTTGTCAGACGAGGACCCCCCCCCCCTCCTCCTCCTCCTCCGCCGCCTCCTCCTTTTCTTCATTCGTCTCCCCTTGCCCCCACTTTCCCCTATCCTTTTTCCCCCTCCTCCTCCTCCTCCTCCTCGTCCTTCCCCCTCCCCGACCACCGTCTCCCCCCTCTCGTCTTCCTCGTCGGTGCTTCCCAGCGCTTCGGTCCTTTCCCCTCCCCCCCCCCTCCTCCTCCCCTCGTCGCCCTCATGCCGCCCCCTCTTCCCGCCCGCGCCATCCCCCCTCTCAGCGTCCTCCGCCCCCCTCCTTGCCCCCCTCCACCCTCCCAATCCCAAGCCGCCCCCATCCTCTTTACCCCGGCCCCTTCTGCCTTCTCCTCGCCCCCGCCGCCTCCCAGGACCTGGGAGGGGCCGGGGCGGAGGAGGTCGCGGACTCGGAGAGCCCCGAGGTTGAGGAGACCGCCCCGGCCACAGCGGCCGAGGTCGTCGCGACGCCTCCCACCCCAGGCGCAGCGGCCGAGGTCAAGCCGACGCTTTCCATCCCGAGCGCAGCGGCCGAGGTCGAGCCGACGCTTTCCACCCCTGGCGCAGCGGCCGAGGTCGTCGCGACGTTTTCCACCCCGACAACAGCGGCCGAGGTCATCGCGACGTTTTCCACCCCGAGCGCAGCGACCGAGGTCATCGCGACGCTTTCCATCCCCGATGCCCTGGAACCGATCCAGATCTTCGACAGTCTCCCTCTGCGTGACGATCGGCAGTACGACGAGAGCCTGCCTTGCGAGAGCCCTGCGGCCATCGAAGTCGCCCCACCGCTCGAGGGGGCCATCGTGGAGGCCCAGCCCGAGGAACCGAGCCTCTCTTCCTCCTCCTTCCTCTCCTCCCCCTCCCCCTCCTACCCCTCCTCCTCCTTCCTCTTCCTCCTCCTCCTCCTCCCCCCCCTCATTCTCCCCCTCCTCCTTCCCCCTCTTTCCTCCTCTTATTCGGCTGTCTCCCCGGGGGCCCCGCTGCAGTCCACCCGTGGCGTCGCCCAGCAGGGCGGCGGCGCGTTCGCCTCCCCCCGCGTCGAGGGGCGAGGGGGATTCGGGAAATGGGGGGGCGCGGAAAAGGGGGGGGGGAGAGGAGGAGGAAGAAGAGGAGAAGGACGAGGAGGGGGAGGAGGAGGAGGAGGAGAGGGAGGAGGAGGAGGAGGAGGAGGAGAAGCAGGAGGAGGAGGAAGAGGAAGAGGATGAGGGGGAGGAGGGGGATGATGATGTTGATGATGCTGCTGATGGTGATGGTGATGGTGATGATGATGATGGTGATGGTGGTGAGGATGATGGTGATGATGATGGTGATGATCATGCTGATGCTGATGATGGTGATGATGATGATGATGCTGATGATGTTGGTGATGATGATGATGCCGATGGTGGTAGTGATGGTGATGATGAGGATGTTCATGATGATGATGCAAATGGTGACGATGCCGATGATGATGATGGCGGTGAGGAGGAGGAGGAGGAGGAGAAGGAGGATAAGGAGGAGGAGAAGGATGAGGAGGAGGAGGAGGAGGAGGAGGGGGCATGTGAATTGTGCTCCCAAGGGCTCGCTCGTCCATGAAAACCACTCCGACGACGACGCCGAGTGCGGTCAGGACGACTTGTGGGGCAAGGCCCTCGCGATCCTCGGCCTGCGCGGCGAGGAGGCCGCCGCCTGCTCGGAGGAGATGCGCCAGGACAGGAGCATGATGAAGAACACGCCGCGCGTCTCTTGGATCGACCGCCCCGCGTACATGGGCGACGTGATCAAGGTGCTCGAGGGCGGCGTGATCCCCAGGATCGACGACTCCAAGCAGGGTGGCGGTCGCCCGAAGAAGACGATCCGCCTTGGGAAGGGCAAGGCCGTGAAGGGTAAAGAAAAAGAAAGCGGGCTTCAAGATCGCCAGGGTCGCGAAGAAGATCATGGCGGCCAAGGAGATGAAGAAGAAGGATGAGGAGGTGGCGACATTCTCCGACGCCCCCCTTGTCGTGGAGTCGCCCGTCATCGTCGCTGGCAAGAAGGGCAAGAAGAAGCGCGGGGCTGGCGGCGGCCCGACGCCGTCTCCCAAGGTAGAGGCCTCCTAGATGGGGTCGGAGTAGATGGGGTCGGAGGATCGCGCCGCATCGCAGATGCATCGGCGATCCATCGGCAATGCATCGCCGATGCATCGGCGACGTCGGCGATGCGAATGCGACGTCGACGTGGGGGAAATCGGGCTCCACATCGACAGTATCACCGATATATCGGCGATGCATCGGTGATGCGGCGAGATCTTCCGACCCCATCTACTCCGACCCCATCTGGGAGGCCTAGACAAGGGGAAAATGGCGAAAGCATCCGCGGGCACGGTGGGGAAGGTGACGCCGAGCAAGGAGAGCATGGATGCGGCCGCGCCCCTGGGCAAGGCGCCCAAGCCGACTGCGCTGGCCATTCCTGACGACGCGCCCGTCGATGCCAGGTCTGATCCCGGCGCGAAGCACAGGGGCACGAAGAGCTGCACCATCGGCGCTGACAACGGCGCGAAGATCGAGGTCAACATCGCCAAGAACCACTTCCGGTGCATGGCGGCCGCCTCCAGCATCGACGACAAGAGGCTCGCAAAGCCGAACGTGCGCTGGAAGGCGGCAGGGTCCATCGAGGCTGCCTGGCAGATCGTCGCCAAGCGCGTGGGCTGGTACGATTAGGGCGCCGAGCTGTTGGCAGGCTCGGCGACGGCTGCATCGCGGCCGCCGAGGGCTCTGAGCCTGTGGCGTCGCAAGGCAGCGGCTGTCTAGAGGGCGGATGGAGGGGCGGGGCTGAACAGAGAACCGAACGACGACATTCACATGACAATTCGGAGGTCCGCGCAAATTTCTTGGATCGGCGCGGGCGGCGCCTCCGGCGCCGCCTCTGGCGCGCTCCGCGCGCCAGGGAAGGGGGCCCAGCACCGACCAGAGAACTCCGAGCGGACCTCCGATTTTTTATGTTTATGTCGTCGTTTGGCTCTCCATTCAAGAGGGCAGGGAGGCAGGGCGGCAGAGAGGGGGGGGGGATGAGGATAATGCGGGGGAGGAAGCACAGGACACATGAACTCAATAACGCTGCTGCAACGCAGTCTTGGCCACCCCGCATGGACCGCGAGCCATAGAGCCGAGGGGAGACGGCTCTTGCTGCTCCGTATCCCTGGAGAAACTATTATCTCCAATCGTCGCCCTCCACCCAGCTCCACCCCTCCCCACTCCTCGCCCTCGCCCCAACTTCTCCCTCCTGAGCCCTCCCCCCGCTTCTGCGCAGAGTCCTGGCAACCAGAGTGAGCTAGAGATGTGCCGAGCTTTGAGATATAACGCTGCTCGAAGGAGGCCTCTGAAGATCGATGGGGAACACAATCGAATCATGGGCGAGAATGGTGTAGGCGAGTTTGCGAGCATGGTCAGACTAGGGGCCCGTCGGATATATTGCTTCGAAGGGGGCGTTAGGTAATTGATCATCCCCGAACCTTATGCCCCCCCCCCCCCCCCCCCCCCGTCACTCCTGATCCCCGGGCGGGGCCTCGGAGCCGTGGCCCTTGGCAGCCTGGCAGCGTCGGACATCATGTGCCGAAGCGCTCGAGGCTCGCGCATCCTCTCACGCCTCTACCTCTCGCGTCTGAGGCGCGCGAAAGAGGGCGGGGCGAGCGGGAGCGACCTCCGGAGAAGCGAAAGCAAGAAACCCGAAAGGCCCTAATCGCATATATCCTCCGAAGACCACCCCCATCGCCCAGCCCCCTTTGGCGCGCGCGCCGACCCCTGTCGCCCGCGCTTCTGGCGCACCCCTTCCCGCTCCAGTTCCTGGAGGCTCAGGGCGTCGAAGCAGCCTTGCGCCCCCCCCTCGCGCGCGCCCAGCCACGCCGGCAAGCGGGGGGGCAGGTGGCGTTCGGCCCCAACCCCAGTCCAACCAGCCCTGGCCCTGGCCCCGGCCCTGGGCCCACCTCGGCCCCGACCCCGGCCCGGCCCCAGCCCAGCTCAACACAGCTTCCTCTGGAGGCCCCCTAGATGGAGTCCGAGTAGATGGGTTCGGAGGATCGCGCAGCATTTGCGGTGCATCGGCGATGCATCGCCACTGCGTCGGCGTTGTAGGCAATGCATCGGCGCCGTCGGCGCGGAGAAAATCGGGCTCGACATCGAGCCGCATCGGCGATGCATCGGCGACGCGGCGCGATCCTCCGAACCGACCCACTCGGACCCCATCTGGTGGGCCTAGATCCTCAGCCCAGCCGCCGAAGGTTCAGCCGAGCCGAAGAACCAGCTGTCCATCATGCCTACCCGCGAGGAGAAGAACTCGATCGGAGGGCTCCTCGGCATGCAGCTCGCCATGTTGGCATTCTTGAACTCCCCTATCATTATCCTGTCTATCGTGTTTCTGATCCTGGCGAACCGCCGCATCAAATTCGATTGCAACTTGCGGTGCGTGGAGTACTTCGCGGGGGTCGGAGCTGTCTGCGGGGTTTTCGAGAATTCGGTCGGGGGCGATGGAAATCTGGGCGCCCCAAAATCTTGTTCGGCCCCTCAAAACCTCGAGATCACAATGTTCCTTTTATTTCCGTCTTCGTCCACGTCCTTCAGTCCCCCGTTTTTTTTCTCTTTGCCCTCCCCAGTCTTGCCCCCCCTTTCCCCCTCTTCCCCTCCTCTTCTCACCCCCCCCTCGTCCGCCGCCCCCGCCCGCCCGCCAGGATGCCCCCCCCCCCCCCCCCCCCCCCCCCCCATTCACCCCCTGGCCCCCGCGCGCCCCAGCCAGGGGTACGACGTGTACAAGTACGAGATACTGAGGGAGCCCAAGCACAATGACATCTTGAGTGATGTTGGGTTTGCAGAGGCTGTTCGAGTCGCCCTCAATATGGCACCTGGCGGTTGCTGTGTCATGGGGCCTGTTTGCAGTTCATGGGTGCACTGGTGCATGGGTACCTCTGGGCGGCGCAAGTGGAGACCCCTCGGTGATCAGTCAAAGCCCTGGGTGCAGAAAGCGAACACAATGGTGAGCCGTGTGATGTTGCTGGTTCGAATCTTGCAGAGTCGGGGGGTCTTCTGGGTGCTCGAGCAACCAGCGAGCTCGCTGATGGTGCACCACCCGCGCTTCCAAGAGCTGATCAACGACATGGACGTGCACAGCGTCCGCATGTACATGGGCAACTTCGGCGCCGAAACCGAGAAGGCCACGATCTTGTATTCTGGCAGCCCCGAGGTGAAGAAGATCGGCGGGCAGAAGCGGCGCCCGCACCTGCACTGCCCGAACAAACTCGTGGATGAGTCGGTGGATGCCACCGGGGCAACCAAGGCAACTGGCAACAGCAGGCTCAAGATGAGCCAGGCGTACCCTCGCGCCTTCGGGTTCGCGATTCGCAAGATCTGGGATGAGCACAAACGCATCTTCATCAAGCGCCACCGGAAATTGCAGGATCAGACGCTCGACGCGGGCCTGGAGGTGAACGCGTTCGACCAGCCGAGCAACCGCAAGGAGCACTGGGCCGACGCGAAGCTCGACAATGTGATTAAGTACTTGCAGCAGTGAGTGCGCACAGCGCTCTCGACGCTGGTAATCGCTCGACGCTTCGCGCGTCTCCGCCAATCCATCCAGAAACGATCATCGAGGATGAATTAGCGGAAAAGGAGAGCCACTATGATGCTTATGATGATGATGACAATGATGTTGATGATGACGATAATGGTAATGATCCCGATTATGATGGTGCTAGTTGTGGTGATGACGATGATGATGATGATGATGTTGCTGATGATGATGATGACGAGGGGGAGGAGGAGGAGGAGGGGGAGGAGGAGGAGGGGGGGAGGAGGGGGAGGAGGAGGAGGAGGAGGAGGAGAACGAGAAAGAGGAAGAGGATGCGCAGACGGCCCAGAGGCCTCTCGGGAGGCCCTCATGGACACCGTGGGTCCGTCCTGGGGCGATGTCTGGGCTTCTTGGAGAATGTTGAGAGCCAGATCGAGCCATCTTGGATTATCGTGGGCCAGCTTGGAGATAATTTCAGATTATCTTGGCCATCCTGGGCCATCTTGGACGCTCCAATCGGCCGCAGATCCCCCCGCAGAAGGGGAAGACGGCCGTGGTCCAGGACGCGCTCCAGACTGCCTGCGCCCACAGGGCGGGTCGGATTAGCACGCCTGCGTGAAGCTTGCCTGGGCAGGGCCAGCTCGTCTCCTCCTCTTCCTTTTCCTCCTCCTTCTGCCCCTCCATCTCCTCCTTGTCCCCCCCCCCCCCCCCCCCCCTTCTAATCATTTATCCTCCTCCTCCTCCTCCTCCTCCTCCTCCTCCGCCCCATCCTCATCGCATTCATCTTCATCCTCATCTTTGCCAACATCACCATCATCATCACCATCATCATAAGCATTTATATCATCATCATCAGCAGCAGCAGCATCAACATCATTATCTTCACCAGCATCATCAGCTGAGGGAGCCATATGGTTCCACAGCTGCCCCTCCCCCCCCCCCCCCTCCCCATGGGGCCTGCCATCGCCAGCATCGTCGTCATCTTTATCATCAGCACCAGCATCGTCATCGTCATCATCACCACCATCATCATCATCACCATCATCATCATCACCATCCTCCTCATCATCTGCATCGTCATCAGACGTCGACATCAGCATCACCATCATAAGCACCCTCACATCATCATCATCATCACCATCACCATCATCAGCAGCATCATCATCAGCGTCATCATCATCATCACCATCATCATCATCACCATCGTCATCATCAGCATATTCACCATAATCAGCATCATCGTCATCAATGTCATCAGCATAATCCTCATCATCATCCTCGTCCTTCTCCTGAACGCCACCGGGGGCAGTTGCGAAGCATCATCATCATCCCCAGCACCATCCTCACTGGGGGTAGTTGCGAAGCAAGTGGATCGCGCCGTTGTCTCGGCCATGCTGTCGGCGCTCCTCCGCATTATTCTCGTCCTCCTCCTCGTCCTCCTCCTCCTCCTCGTCCTCCCCCTCCTCCTCCTCCTCCCCCTCCTCCTCCTCCTCCTCCTCCTCTGGGACTGCCGAAGGGACCGCGTGCTGGGGCCTGTCTCGGCAACCCTCTTGAAGTTTTCTGGGGTTCCCATTGAGGCTCACCTGGTGCTCCCCGAGGGCTCCAAACAAATCCGAGGAGGGCCCCGGGGCGGATCCCGAACAGTCCTGAGATGGCTCCACAGGGTCAACCATGACTGATCATGCGAAGCCCTCTCGCGTGACTGATCTTCGTATTCTCTGCGGGGGAGAAGGAGGGGGAGAAGGAGAGGGGGGAGTAGGAGTAGGAGTTGGAGTAGGGGTAGGAGCACGAGTAGGAGAAGGAGTAGGAGTAGGAGTAGGAGCAGGAGTCAAGCTAGCCAGTTCGAGCGAGTCAAGCATGGCATGCCCAGTCCCACCCGCCCTCCCACAACATAAGAAGCAAAGCTGGCACAACTGGGGGCCGAAGTCACACCGGCCAGCCGGTTTGGTACAGCTGATGCGGCCGCGATGGCGGTTGCCGACGGGAACTGGCGAGCGCGTGTTGAATGCCGCGCACGCATTGCCAGACGAGTCGAGAATGGCCCGGTACACCGCAGGAAGCCAGAGGTGGCCGGAGGAAGCCCGACGGTCTGACAGGACACCCCAAAGCATTTTTGTGAAAAAGCATTGGGTTTTTGATGTTTTTATGTTGAAATGCTTGCAAACACACGGTGTTCGGTAGGATTCTGACATGAACGCGCGAGTGTGCTCTTTGTAGTATTTTTTGCACAGGATTCGCGGCCTGGGTGCATGACAGAGCATCGCGAGTGCACCGCGCGATGACGTGAAATCGCTGGATTTGACCGAATTCTTAAGATTCCTATGGTTTTCCTATGATTTCAGCAAGAGAGCCCGGACGGGAAATTTGTACATTTTTTGTGAAAAAGCATTGGGTGTTTGATGTTTTTATGTTGAAATGCTTGCAAACACACGGTGTTCGGTAGGATTCTGACATGAACGCGCGCGCGTGCTCTTTGTTGTGTTTTTTGCAATGGATTATCGCCGTGGACGACAGGACGTCCATGTCGAGAGGAAAAAATAAGACAAATAATGATTTTGTATTGTTTTTGAAAGGTTAGGATGGGACCACCCGGACGCGCCCGCTATCTGCCGGCCTGAGGGGGGAGTAGAAGTATATTCGAATAAGGAATAAGGATAGGAGTAGGAGTCAGGGCAGGAGGAGGAGGAGGAGGCTGTTCTGGGGCGCGCCGGGGCTTCCTTTGGCCGTCGGAGACCTCGCGGGGGCATTTTGTTTAGAATATTTAATGTTTTTGTAATGTGCTGAAGGGCTCCCAGAGGTAACGTTTTTATCTTGTGCTGAAAGACTCCCAGCGGTAAAGTTTTGGTCCTGTGCTGCAGGATTCCCAGAGGTAACGTTTGGTTTTGTGCTGAAAGACTCCCAGAGGTAACGTTTTGTTTTTGTGCATTGTGCAGGCCATCCACACGTAACGTTTTTGTCTTGTGCTGAAGGACTCCCAGGGGTAACGTTTTTGTCTTGTGCCAGATATAGTGTGTTGGTCTTGTGCTGAAGGACTCCCAGAGGTAACGTTCTGGTCCTGTGCTGAAGGACTCCCGGAGGCCCCCCGGGAGACCCCCTACCTAGTCCCGGCCTTCTCTTGGGGCTCCAAGAGGGCTCCCAGTGGGCTCCCAATAGGGCCCCAAGAGGGCTCCAAGAGGCCCCAGAACGCTCCAAGAGGACCCCGACTGGACCCCAACTTGATATATAACTCGAGGCCCCGGTGATATACAGTTCTGGTGTCCAACTGGAGCTCCCTAAGCCCTGTGAAGGCCGTGGAAAAGGGCCCAAGAGGGCCCCATGGCGGCTCCGAGAGGGCCCCAAGACGGCTCCAATATGACCCCAATCGGACCCCATACCCGTATATAACCAGGGCCTTGAGTTATATACCACTCTTGGGTTCAGTTGGGGTCCTCTTGGGGCCCTCGTGGAGCTCTCTTGGAGCCCCTTGGGGCTCCAAGAGTGCCCCCGCAGGGCTCCAAGCGGGCCCCAGGAGACTCCCAAGAAGGTTCCAGAGGGCCACCAGAGGGGTCCAAGAGAGCCCCAACCCAACTCTACGCATAGAGTTGGGTTGCTGTCTTGGCCCTGATAGAGCCATGGCAGACGGTGCCCGAAACAGGCCGCAGCAGTGGCACCCAAGATGGCCTTATGGGTGCCTCTGTTGGTGCCTATTCAGGGAGCCCTGATTCAGCCTTGTTGGGACTGTCTTGGAGCCTCTCAGGGCCCTCTTCGTGGCGACTTTGGGGCGCCCTCGGGGCGCTGTCGGGGCGCTCTTGGAGCCTCTCAGGCGGCGTCTTGGGCCTGTTCTGGGCGAGCGGGGCTCGGGGGCGTATTTCGGCAAAATTGTCGAAATCCGTCCGCGGCTGCGAGGCGCTCGGGGCGCTGTCCGAGCGCTCTTGGAGAGCGAGAGAGCGCGGAGAGGGAGGGAGAGGGGTGAGAGAGCGCAGAGAGGGAGGGAGGGCAGAAGAGGAGGGGAGAGGCAGGAGGCGCGCAGGCATTCCCTCGCCTCCGCGTCGGGGACGACGACGACGGCGCCAAGCGGATATCATCTCAGGAGGAGGAGGAGGAGGAGCAGGAGGAGGAGCAGGAGGAAGAAGAAGAGGGAAGGGGCCCGAACGACTCGCCCGTGAGGAGTGAGGTGGGTGGTGGGTGCGTGGTGGGCGGGTGGGTGGTGGGTGGGTGGCGGGTGGGCGGTGGGTCGGTGGGCGAGTGGGTGGGCGGGCGGTGGGCGGTGGGTGGGTGGAGGAGGAGGAGACGGAGGAGGAGTGGGAGGAGGAAAAGGAGGAGTAGGCGCGTGGTTCCATAAACCCCAGTCTCATTCACATTCACATTCCTCCTCAGCCCCTTCGGGTCGAGCGAAAGGGGGAGTAGCAAAGGGGAGGTTTGAGAATCAGCTTACGTAGCTGATTTTCCTGGCGCCCCCCGGCGCCAGAGGCGGCTGTGCGTCGAGGGATGGGCCCCTTGGCGAGGCCGAAACCAGCTGCATGCAGCAAATTTCGTAACCCCCCCTTTCCCAGTCCCCCCCTTTCGCCCGACCCGACTCCTCCTCCGCCTCCTCCTTCTCCTCCTCCGCCCCCCCCCGCCGCCCCCCCCCCCCCCTGCCTCCTCCCCCGCCGTCCTCTGGCCGCGCGCGCCGCCAGGGGGCTCCGGCTTCGAGATGTCGCACGAGGCGGGCCGCCTGCGGCCCCGCGCGGCCCCAATTCCATTCGCCCCCTTCGACCGCCAGCCCGCGCGGCAAGGATGAACAGCTGTCCAGGAGTCCAGTGTTACCCTGGCATTCTTCCTCTTCGGCCGCTCGCAAAGTGTCGGCGTGGCCTTCCAGGGCCCTTGCATCCTTATTGTTCGTCCTTGCTACGCGGGGTAACTACTCCAGATTTCGCGATAAAAGGAGGGGGGTCTCATTTCGGGGGGGGGTCTCTTCCAGGCTATCTTGGAGGGCCTGGGGGGGTCTGGGGACGATGTTTTGGAGGGCTCTCCCACGGGAGGGG